GAAAATAGTGCAGCGACGAGAATAGCGGCAAGCCAGCAAGGTGCTCAGACATAGTAGAGCGGCGAGGAATAGCGAGGTACTTGTGCAAATTTATTATTTTCATTTGCTTATTGATAATTTGAAATGTTAACAGTGGCTAAAATTATGGGCAGTTGTGTCGCAAACATTTGGTTACATGAAATTTTCAAAAACCGGAGAAAGTGTGGCCAGTTTTATAACCTTTATGAAAATTTGTTGCCATTTCATCTCATAACTTATCTAAAATGTACCGGTTATGGTGATTACTATCTTTCTGATCGCATAAAATCTCTCTTACAAATACTAAATCTATTAATTTTTGGGAATCTATCATTTCCTACAGCGCGACAGAGCGACGAAAACAAAATTATTTGAATCGATCTCGCCGCTCGATCTAACCGCTCGATCTAACCGCTCGAGCAGATCGCTTTACTATGTTCGCACGTAGTTGTCTTCACAGATTTGTTTTGGACGCGATGTTGCGCTGGTTGCTCGCCGCTATCCTCATCGCTCCACTATATTCTTAGCCTAAAACAGAGAATAATATAAATGACAGGTTTATAGACAGAGAAAAAACCCGTTTTTTACGTTTGTAGGAAAGTTGTAGTAAAATGAGTAACTATTGTGAAAAATAAAGTTTCAACCCTAGATGCAACATTTTCCATAAACGCCTACTTATGAGGTTTGAACTTTTGATGCAAAATCCGGCAATACCTTATAGAAGAAATATATCAACCCAACTTTTATCTCTTTTTAATACATTTGATTTTGCATTAAGCTGCCTACATCACCTGTGACGAAAATTACTAAACACACTGATTTTACCTAGAGTCATTTTACCATAAAATGCCATAAAAATACCGAGGGTGCCATTTAAAAATCAGAAGTTGTAGTTATTTCCGGTGAAACAGGAAGTGACCGAAAACAATTGAATACGTCAATCAATCCCGATTTATGATATACCAACGTACCAAATCTTTTTATCTTATTATCTAGTTATAGGGGTTACTTTTGAAAAACACCCGGTATACTGTATAATTTTTGTTATTTTGAAAAAAAAATGTTAGTTACAAAAGAAAACCACGGTAAAAAAAAATGACTTAGTTAAAACCATATATTTTTTGCTTGTTAAAAAGAACACTAGTAAAGGAATAATCCCACCATTCGATTGCTAAAAAGCTCGTGTCGATATACTATCGACAATTTATTTCGTTTCCAACATCTGTCGTCGACCAGACGACTATACACTCTTCTATGACATTACAAACATAAAAGAAAACCTAGCACGGTCGATCCCAAACGAACCAATTTATTTCAATGGCTTATTCAATGGTCGATGGCGAATACCGGTAGCTATAGCCGGTACCGGCCAGAAGAGAATAAAAAACGCGCAGACTTTCAACCTTCTATAATAAATAGCATTCTAATGCTTAAAAGCGAACCAGTCTGAGTCAAGAATCAAGTAGTATGTATGTATGTGATGAAGCCGTCACTGGGTACGAGAGCTTGGTAGTACCGGAGTTATTTTTGATATATAGGGACGTTTATAATTATAAATGGAATCGATACACAGAGGAGTATTTTAGTATTTTTAATCTTTTTGACCCCATTCTTGTAATTTGATAGAATTGTTTAGTTGGTTTTAGGGCCAGGGCTCGAAATCTGTAACTTAGAAAACGCTAAGTGCTTTTAGACGTTTAGCGCGCACTTAACTACCGATTTGGGTATTCTCATCTGACGCGCTTAGCGCCTTTACCCATTGCGCTAAGCGATTTGAAAACAGTTACCTTAAAGGGTCGTTTTGCTTGTCGAACTGTCAGTAAAAATAGAAAAAAAAATTGATTTTGTGCGTTCTTTTGCTCTCTAGTGAAGAATATTTCTTCTTCTGTCAATTTCTCAATAAGTAATTGATTATTTACGATTTGGCAGCTATAAATATTGTTCAAAACGTCGAAAATACTGAGAAGGGTCTTCAACATTTCCCTCGTGTACTAAGAATAATGACATATCCATAGAAAAATAGGTTGACGTAACTCAACAATAGCTTATGAAATTCACGTAACATTGACAGATACCTGAGAAATTGCGATGCTGCCAATATGTGCTCAACGCTTATCCAGAAAACGATTCGCACGGCAACAAGAATACCAAAATCGCCTGCTTGGCGTTCTGCTAACCGAATACTTTGGCTCGGTTTGGCTTTGAAAGCGTAACGTTTTCATGTCAAAGTTCCAGAATTAGGGCCCAATAAGACTTTGGAGTTTTTAGGAGTTTTAATCTACTTCAATGTACAATGTTTAGAACTCCAAAATATATAAATTGACGATAATGCTATTATATAAATACGTTTAAAAATGTATGGCGTCATTTTTTCTTAAAAAACGTCCGAAATTTGGATACACGCAAACTAAACTTAAAAGGTTTGATTTTTTAACTTAACCAGTTTACCTTATTTTGTTTCCTAGCCTGCTACTATAATTTTTAGACTTTATAATCCTAGGCGGCAGCCTAACATGATTTGTTCTCTTATTATCTCCCGTTAGAAAGAAGAGAGAAAGTTGTGGTTTGGTCTAGATAAGTGTCAAAAAGAAATAAAACCTGTTATTTAATTTTTTTTATACAAAAGCATCTGTTATATTGCCAAATAGCGCCCTCTAGCTACCACGAAAAACTCTATGGAAACAAAATTTATACTAGGAGTTATTAAAAAAGAAAAGCTCTTTGAAACGAGCCTTAGTTTGTTTAAATCGGCTAACTCAAACCAGAGTTATCCTTATTTTAATAAAAGCAAGTTTAACCTTCCCCCATCACTTTATTTTATGAAAAAAAATACAAATTTCCCATTGATTATTATAGCAATATTTAAAATACCTCTTCACCTGCATATTTTTGAGAAAAATCCTATTTTCTGTCTGGCCATCATAGATGCGCCCCCTAGCGGACATTTTTCCAACTTGAAAATAATTTACAGCGATTTTTCTTGGTCGATTTACTTATTACAGTTTTTTTCCTAAAGTTATACAATAAGTAGTTTCTGAAATACAGCCGGCGTCCATTCTTAGTTGGCCACCCGGTACATATTCAAAGGAATATCGATTTCTACTTTGCTCTAATCGATCGGTAATTTCTATACATCCCTACATAGAGATGAAGCCGTTACAGGGTACGAGAGCTTGGTAGTACCGGAGTTCCTATACGGACTCAACCCAGTCTCCTCTCGATCGGTTTTGAGAAGAGCGCAATCTGAAATGATAATGGAATTCCATTAAACCCGCGTCGCGGCAGTTCCATAAATCATGGCCCTAATTGGCGATACCGAACCGCTGTGTATGGGTCGTTCATCCCGGTACGGTACGTACCGGCATCGGCAGTAGGGATGAAACGATACGAGTAACTATCGAGTATCTACTCCATGCTTTCCGATACCATGGACTTTTGGAATGTCTCGAAATATTATAAATTCAATAAAAAATAGTACCATCGGGAGCATACATAATTATTTATTAGTCGTAGTTATCGGTTACATCCTTCCTTGTCAGCAACAGTTTGAAGAGTTTTAAGAAGATTAAGCAGATGGTATCGAAGGCATATTTTTTTATAAGTTGGTCGATGTCGTCTATGTTTATACAGGGTGTCTCAGAAAACAGGACAGATATTTTAAGGAGTGGCAGATCTCGATAAAACAAATATATTTTCTCTTTACCGTTTTTCAAATAAGTCCAAAATAATCGGGAAAAATAATCGAGAACATCCATAATCGGGAACATCCTGTATAATTTCCTTAAATATCATGTTTTTAGTATTTTGATAAAACACGGTTTTAGATATCCTTTTAGACCTTTTTCAAGAGTTTCTTAAAACTTTTCTCAAGAACATAACTTTTTTCAAGAGTTTTAAGAAACTCTTGAAAAACGCCTAATAAGCCGTAACATATGTAGAGATGGCAAAATAAAACACTAAATTACCACAATACACTAAAACACTTTTACTTTTACACTGGACGCGTGTTTCGCTAACCAAGTTAGCAACATCAGCAGATGATGCTGTATGATGTAAAACTGGAGTTTTAATAATCCGCTGATGACGCTAACATGGTTAGCGAAACGCGCGTCCAGTGTAAAAGTAAAAGTGCTTTGCTGTATTGTGGTGATTTAGTGTTTTATTTTGCTGTTGTAACACCAAAGGTTCCAACCCCCCAACTGTAATAATATGTTGAGATAAAATTATCTCTAAATATATCTCTCATTAAACTTGAAACATAAAATTATCTCTACATACCGGAGTTTCTTTAATATTTCAACGATGTTTCACAAAGAATCAATCATAGACTAAGTACTATTTATCGTGTTTAGCTCTTCTTAAAGTTTTTATAATTTGAGTTCTTGTTTTTAATTTGAGTTCTGTCATTGCCCGACATTCTATGGAAGAACGTTGTCTCATGATAACTTCACATATCATCCTATATTTGACGAGCTACGCTTAGGCTAAACCTTACAAATGCGATCGTATCAAATCAGCGGTCGTAGACGATCGATTGACGGTGCCGGCCGTACCAAATGGGTCTCGTTTTGCTATGTTCTCGGTACGTTTATCGAGTCGGTGGTACTGCGAGCTGTCGTTCTGTCGTTCTACAAGACAAAATTGTCGTTATTTCCGTTTAAAAGAGTGTATTGTTTGCACGTAAATGGTTCTGAAACAGAATGAAAATGATAGTACAACCTATTAATTGCGTTCTTCGCCAAAAATAGACAAATGCGACAAATTTCAAATTAAGCTAAAATATTAAAGAAATAAATGAATATGTAGGAGATTTGATACCTAAGAATCCATTAGTCTGTAGTTTTTTGGAACATAATTTTATTAAAGATAATAAATCAACAACGAAAAATGTTACTTATTTCTTCTTCTAGTTGGGATGTTATTATGACTTTTGAGTTATGTTCTGTAAATACCTATATTAATATTAGTTTTTTCTTTTTCAGTTCGAAACGGGTACTCTTGTGTTCCAGTGGCTTTAGCTGATGGTTTGGACATCAAACTCAATGCTGCAGCCAGAAAAGTAGAGTACAATCATCAGGGGGTTGAAGTAACAGTCTACAATCCCAGAAATCCTCAAACCACAAACACTTATCACGGTAAGCACTCAATATTTTAAGCATAACGATATTTTTCTGAGCAAGTTACAACCCCTGAAAGACTTTACAACCCTTACTAGAAACGTCTTTTAAATTTTTATAGCATGTCTGGTACGTAACTACCGTGTTAATTATTATAATGCAGTCCATTCAAAGTCCTGCTATCAAAAATTTGGTTACATCTCTTTTCGTTGATACTAAAATCGAATTATGGTAGCACTTAAGCGCAAATATCTTGAAAATCGTTCACGAACTAAACGAAGAGCACCTTTCTTACTTAAAAAAATATTTTTTTAATGAGAAACCAATTTGTTTGTGAGAAACTACTCTCTACCCTAATGCAACACTTTTAGAACTGTTAGCGATTTTTACACTATTGCCATTAAAATGCATATAATAAGATCAAATTTCAAGAAAAATGGTTTAATAATGTTCTTAACAATAAAATATATTATTTTTATCTACCCGTTCAAGGGCTGTAACTTCCCCAAGGAAGCATCTTAGATATTATGTCCATATGAACTTTTTGTTTTGTTTTTATCTGTATAATAACCCCCTGAGGTTATGATAGTGACGTGGTAAGCTTGGTATAACCTATAAATACACTTCTAGATGATTCATTATAGAGATTGATGATTTCTTAAAAAAATAAAATAAAAGAGATCCAGATGTTTCATTTTTTTCAAACAATTTTGGTCACCTTCCTTTGATAGTATTTATTCTAAACCAATTTTAACTTAAAACGTTTCTCTTTTCAGCCGACGTAGTACTATGTACTCTCCCCCTAGGAGTACTCAAACTCAGTTCAGCCCCCTCTAGCGGTCAACTAAACACCGTCCAGTTCTCTCCACCCTTACCGGACTGGAAAACTTCAGCCATCCAGCGTCTAGGCTTCGGCAACCTCAACAAAGTCGTACTGTGCTTCGAAAGGATCTTCTGGAACCCTCAAGCCAACCTCTTTGGCCATGTTGGTAGTACTACGGCCAGTAGAGGTGAATTATTCTTGTTTTGGAACCTGTACAAAGCCCCGGTACTACTAGCACTGGTTGCGGGTGAAGCAGCGGCTATTATGGAGAATGTAACAGACGACGTAATTGTGGGAAGGTACGTTTAACATTTAACCACCACGTTGGTTTAGCACCACTATGCTATTTTTTATGTAATTAGACCGTATAAACAAAAACAACTGCTTTTATCAGAAGAATTCTACGATATATTTTTGTTGTACTACCACAATGTATTTGGCAAGATGCTGTTGTCAAACATCTCTTGTTACATCTCTAATAGGAACCTAACTCTCTACTTATGCATTTGTCCTGCGTTGTTACGTTGTAAGATAAAATATAGTTAGTAGGGTCGTTTCTATCAAATTGTATTTTAGCATTTTTTATCTCTTCAAATTTTTGTAGAAAATGCATTTTCTTATAATTTAGACCTTGACATTTTAGATTGTTTTTAAAGCAACAAATGTAGAAAATGTACAGGTGCTAAAAACGATAATATTACCAGCCTATTTGTATACAAAAAGAAAACTTTTTAAATCTTTATAAAGGAGTATACCATTAATTAAATATACCACCATTATTTCCACCTAAATATTAATTAATTACATACTTAATTGTGTTAGTTAATAAATTATTCTAAATAAATGTGGATTTGAATCAGAAATCAACATAATAAAAAGTTATGAAAATCTCTGTTGTTATAAATAAGCATTTGTCAAAAAATGAAATAATTTTTTTAAAGGTGTTACTGTTTACCACACTGTATAATAGACATACAAAAAATCAGTTATTTAGTATTTAGAGCAATTATTTATTAATCAACGCAAACAGTCAATGAATGTAGTTTGAATACTGAAATTATATTAATGGGTCGTCTTTAACAAATATTTAAACAGTTTTTTTATTTTTTAATGAAATAAACGAACTATATCGACAATAATAGTATCTGTACTCTTTAAAAATTTGTTACATCTTTAAAATTAATCTAAAATGTCAATATTCCATGGGTATATTGATAAATGTGGTCTAAATTATAAAAAATGAATTTTCTACGAAAACTTGAAGAGATAAGTAAAAATGGTATAATACAATTTGATTCTCATAAAATATTCAGGGTGGTCCATTTAAATTTAACAAGTTATTGCCGTTTAAAACTAGTAATTATCTAAAATGAATTTTAGACACTTTGTATAAGGTACTATATTTTTTTATTATTGCAACACAAAATTTAGTAAATAGAAATACTTCAGTACAATATTCGGTTGTAAATTGTAGCTCTGATAGTCCTTCAACGAACCCAAAACTTACAATTTGCAAAATTCTAATCGTTTAGCTACAATACTCCGTGTCGTATGTGGTGAACAACCCTGTATATATACTATTTCCAGTATTGTGTTATTTTTTAGAATAATAGGTTATAAATTAAACAAAGGCAAATATTGAAATATCCCTATAGACTTTGGCGGCTGTGTACCGTGTATAAAACAGGTTTTTTTGGTGGTAGGTACCATATAATCCGAATCAATCGTCACGTCTGGAGGCACATTATAATATTAATTTGTCAAGCGGGTTCTTAAAATCGGATTAGCGAAAGATTTACGGCCCGGTACTACATAAATAATGAATTAATTAACTTGTAGCTTTTTATTTTCCATATTTAATACGGGGAATTAATAAAATTGTGGTAAAAATAAGCTGTTAGATTGCGGTTTGGGAGGGATTATGTCTGTGAAGTTGGATTTATTTAGAAAAATTTGTAGTAATTTACATACGAGATATGGATTTAAATCAAAATAAGTACCGTCTTTATTAACAAAATATTAAAATTAATTTATTAAAACAATATTTGTCTCTTCTTGAGTGTTAAAGTTCGTGACAGAGGCGATAATATTTTTTGGGGCTAAAGCTCTGTCTACATATTAATGTTTTATGTCTGCATAATTTGTAAAAATCATTGGACTGAAAATTAAAATTACAAATACAGGGTGTTTCAAAAAACATGTGCCATCTCTCGTGGGGAGGTTCTTCACATATCAACATAGGTCCGATTCTGCTTTGTTTCGTAGCTACAGGGTGTTAAAGTCTTAATAATATTTCGATTTATTATAATTTTCTTCCAAGTGCGCCACTGAGTTTTTTTCTTTTGACATCAAAATAGTGTAGGCCGTTTAATGCCAATTAAAAGCTCGGCCTGTTTTGCATTAAGATCTATTTCTAAGGAGCTTAACTTGTCAGTGGCTAGAACTGTTTATTATGCACTTTTTGAGTCGCACCTCAGGTATGCCCTTCCATTCTGGGGTACGGGTTGTGCGACTCAATTTGACCGCATTTTCAAGCTCCAGAAGAGAGCTGTTCGATATTCACTGGGACTAAACAGCAGAACTCATTGCCAGGACTTTTTCAAAAATATTAACTCTTCCTTCCTTATTTATTCTTGAATCCGTTTGCCTAATACGTAAGCATTAGAATTTAGAATTTAGAATGAGTGGGAGGGGGGTTAATCACTTCGACCTTACAGATCCATTGTGTCCCCCTTTCTTGAATCATAACTCATCATACAGTCCCAGGGCTTTGACAAAAGCCAGTATCTGGGACGGTTTTATAGAGGGTAGTTCTCCATCTCCAATATCAGTCGTACCAAAATTCATGGCACGAATGGTTGTCGTCTCGGCGCACTCAGTGATGAGGTGTACTGGTGTTTCACCATCAACCCCACAGAATCTGCATTCGCCGTTTCTTCTTAGTTTCAATCTACTGAGGTGTACATTGAGGAGACAGTGTCCTGTTAAAAACCCCGTGACAATCCGAAGATTGTTCTTACTCAGACCCAGGAAGATCTGTGATTTTTCTTGATCATAAGCCCTCAGAAACTTCTTCGAGTGTCTTAGACCATTGCAAGATTTCCATTCCAGGTTGCGGATGGAATCTTCCAAGTTCTTGAGTTCCGCCTTGAGTTGGTTACCACTTGGAAAGCAGAACGGTTCTGGTCCAGTTAGTGGAGTGTTCGCTCCTTTCCTAGCTAGATTATTTGCTTTTTCATTGCCTTCTACCCCTTGGTGAGCAGGCACCCAGTGTAGGAGGACTTTGTTTTCTTTGCCTAATTTATTCAGCTTCTCTATGCATTCTTTGACCAATTTCGAATTGATTGATACTGAGTTGATCGCCTTTAACGCTGCTTGACTATCAGATAAGATGGCTATTTCTTGTTTCCTATCTAAGATAAGTAGTTCCTATCTAAGATAAGTTGTACGCATCTCTCGATAGCGTAGATTTCTGCCTGTAGGATACTAGGGTAAGTGCCCATTGGTTCGGAGTAATTAGCTCTCGGCCCATACGTAAGCATGTATCAGCTTCTCAAGAAAGGCCATCTCACACTTATCCACTCATGAACGCCGGAGCAAGATTTTTATCTACCTACCCCACGCTCAGAGTTAGTTAAAAATTCAATATTATACAACTCGAAAAAAATGCACAATCACCTGCCATTTGAAATTAAATCCGTAACATCATTTTCTTCATTTCGCAAAGCATTGAAATCTTATTTACTAGACAAGGCTTTCTACGCCGTAAATGACTAATATTTTGATAATCGAATCTGATCTTGTAAACACTGGTCTAATGTTTGCTATAACTATGTTTACCAATGACATCGAAATGGATTTATCTAGAGGTCATTGATATTTAGTACCTATAAACTTACTAAATATTTTTGAATCTTATTTTTATTTTCTTATTCTTTGACATTGTAAACATTTATAAATGTTTATTTTAAACAATAAGACTGACAATGTTATTTGTATAATGTTTTGTATTCTCTTCTCTCTTTTGTTTGTTTGTTTGTTTACTTTGTTTGTTTACTTTGTTTGTTTACCTTACCTTTGTCTACAAATTGTAAAATTTTTTGACAATAAAGGTATTTATTTAAAAGTTATCTCTAGATATTTTGTCGAATTCGGCCTCTTTGATGAGAGAAACGCAATTTTATTAATCACTATTAATGGTGAATATGTCGACACTTGTTTAGCTTTAAAAATGTCGCATTTATAGTAACTTTTACTCTCAAAATTTTATTCGAAACGCTAAAAGTATTATAATAAATCGAAAAACTATTAAAACTTTAACACCCTGTAGCTAGGGAACAAAGCAGAATCGGACCTATGTTGAAATGAAAAATAAATTTTATTTTTACGTGAGGAATCTCCCCACGAGGGCACATGTTTTTTTGAAACACCTTGTATAATACCCGATATTATTCAGCTTTTTGGTATGGTATTTTGAAGATTTTACCAATAATCGAACAGAATTAAATTTTACAGTAATGATACTATTTTCTATTGTTCTTTTCCAGATGCATAGCAGTACTACGAGGCATCTTCGGCCAATCCGGAGTACCCCAGCCCAAGGAAACTGTTGTAACCCGCTGGAGAGCCGACCCGTGGTCCAGAGGTTCCTACAGTTTCGTAGCCGTGGGTTCCTCGGGTTCCGACTATGATCTTCTAGCCAGTCCGGTACTGCCTCCAAACGCCCAGGGTGTTTCCGCCACTGCCGGACCTGCGAGAGTGTTCTTTGCCGGCGAGCACACTATAAGGAACTACCCTGCCACAGTCCATGGGGCTTTCTTGAGTGGGCTCAGAGAAGCCAGTAGGATTGCTGATCAGATTATCGGGAATCCTTGTCAGCCTCAGCCAGCTGATGATAAAAATTAGTATTTCTATGGATATACTTCGAGATTATTTTTTATCATTGTTTTAGTCTGGGAAGTATTTACACTGATGTTTTATATTTAGTTAGTGTTTTTTTAGCTTTTCTTAAAGCTATCGATTGATTGTTAGTATAGCTGATTAGATTTATATTAGCTTCAGCCAGCTCGTGATATAATTTAGTATTGTTAAGGTTTTGCTTGAAATTATTTTAATTCTATTATCAATTTAGGATTTATTTAGTTTGATATGCATTTTCGTCATTTTTACTTTTTATTTGTTTTAACAAAAGACTTCATCATTAGTTTTTAAATTTGTTATACTAATGTATTTATTTTTGCTTTAGTACTGCAAATTTTTGGGAGGTTACTCTTATTTTATTTCAACTAAGTAATTCTGCAAATAGCCTAATATTAAGTGCTAGACTTTTTTAGTATATGGTCTAGAAAACATTATGTTGAAACTACTCAAATTGATTTTAACAATAGTTTTTCTAGCTTTTGCTTTTGATTGATTTTTTTTATAATTCTGTCAATATTAATTACTTTTCTGTTAAATATACTACTTAATAAAAAAAATAATATAATATTCTATTATTTAATAAATTCAAAGAATTTTAGAATCGAAAAAGTATGTTTTGAGGATAATAAAAGATCCCCAATTTTTTTCATTAATAATATCTATTAAATCAGTTTTGAAAAAATTGCTTTAAAAACTACTTAAATTCAAGTTTTCTGTTCTTCTGTATAACAGTATCTATGTAAGAAATTCATCAAATTTTAATATCTATGATATTTGTTTAGGTATGATTATTAATTTTCTCTGTATCTTAAATAATTTCTAAATATTATTATGCAGATTTTACTATACTGCTGTCCTAATTTACTAGTATATTTTTTATATAAATAAACGTTTTGAATTTTAAGTTGTTTTTGAATTTCCACCTTAAAATAGTCTCTAAACAGAGTTGGACGACGTTTAGAATGTCCTGTCGATAATTTAATTGTCGACTATGGTATCGAAGCTTTCCCATCTTCCTAAATAAATAAAGTTAACGGCATTATTCCATATATTATCTTTCCTCTCATTTTCTCTCTATCCTTCCCAATATCTCTTTCTCTTTCCAATCGAAAAATCTATCAGGCGATAACACACTGTAATAGGCGCTGCTGCTGCCTCTTCTTCCACCGGCCCAAAACCAAATCACCATCTTAACTAGATAGGAAATTAATTTCAACCAGTTCATTAAATATGTAAATAGGAAGGGAATATGATTTATGTGCGAGAAGACGCCGGGCATATAAATGCCGATGAACGTTTTTATAGAAAAGCAATTTTAGCGTTTAAACAGATTCATTTTTTTTTCGTTCTCTATCCTCGTACTGTCTCTCTCGCTTTCGCTGGGTTATATGCAGTGTTATCAACACATCGTAAATTTCCGATCTTTTTTCGAGTTCGAACATGTCAAACATTAATATTTATCAGTTTTTTAGAATTAGAAGTTACCGGCCGTTTAAAGCTTACTATTTCTTATTATGCTATACGACCGACAAAAATTGGCGTCAAACACGGCTGAGGAATGGAAATCAATGATAATTTTAGCGAGATCAAGCCCTAGACGTAAATTACTTGGACTGTACTCTTATTTATTTTTTAATGATGCTTACTGCCAGTTGGGTGTGAGAAGATTGTAATTTATTTTTATATCGATTAAAATGATTTTTAAATGGTGTGGTTGCTTACCTAGTAAATCTTTGAAGTACTTGCTAATATTATCTGTAACAAAGAAATATTTTAAATTAATTATAATGTATACAGTGTGTAAAGATGTGTAGCAGTTCTATGTGTATTCCAAAAACGATTGGTCGTAGACTTGAAATTAATGCAGAAAAACTAAGGCGAATGTCTTATCTGGCGTTAAGGGTTAAACTTATCTATTTTTAACCTTATTACCTTCTGAACAAAACTACGAATCGTCATATGCTGAAAATGCGTTACAATGTGTTAATTCTATCTGTACCATCTTGTATTAGTAGTGTACCATCAGCAGAAGAAGTTTTGGATTTAAGGAGAATTGTTCTAGGGGAAAGTCAACGTTAATTATAAATATATAACTCTAAATAATACAACAGAACTATTTTAGCAGCGGCGTAGTGTGTCATAGGGGATGTAATAATACAAGGGGATGTAATAAGTAATTGCAATTAACATTTCACCAACACAATAAAGTTTTTTATTTCATTATTTCCAAGTCTTTAATTTTGAAGTTACAAAAATAAAATAGACAAAAAATGTAACAGATTAAAAAAATAATCAAATCAATTTAAAAAAAGGCCAACAAAAAGTTTTAATTAAGTATATTTTTAATTAAGTGAAAATAAATAAACAAAAATACGAGTAGCGGAAAAAGGGGCCAAAAGACCCTACATATATGCTTATTATGCCCTACCTAAGCCTTCTTAGCTCCATCTACGGTAACGTGGATGAAGCAAGCATAAGTGAAAATATCTTAAAATTATCTTTCCTAAAATATAGCACACTTGATATTTTGTTATTGTCCCCTTCGAAATACAGAATTTTTTGTTAGTTCGCCACTTTTAACTAGTAGGCTTTGGACCCTTTATTGATGATCTGTCCCTAATGGAACTCGAAAACATATTATTCCAGCAAGACGAGGCACCGTCTCAGAACGCTGAAGTTATCAGCAAATATTTTCAGCGAATTTCGAAAATAATTGAATAGCTAACCAAGATCCCAGCCATTACGCCGCCGGCGCCGTACTTAGTGCCTGTTATTCTTAGTAGATTTTTATCTTTACGGAAGAATAAAGGTTCTTATTTTTAAATTACCCGTATAACCTAGACAAGAATTAGAAGTACTTATAGTGGTTATGCGAGGGTATCTTTCACCCCCACTGAATTAATTAATTCCGCGAGAAATGTTCAAAAACCGTCCCGTCTGTCCATAACAGAAGACGATCGACATGTCGAACACCTGTAGCAAAATCTCATGAATGTCTGGTTTGCTATTAATTTTTATTGTATCGTTTAAATGTGTTGATGTTGTTAAATATAGTTTAAATAGTTATAAAATTTTGCATCTCTCATTGCAAAAATTATTTTCGTTTTAATTGCTGCTCACAGCTACAATTTTTTGGCATTACTGTCGGCGCCGCTCAAAGTTTACTTATACAAAGTGGAAGAATTTTTAAAAACTCTGTATCACGAAGCGTAATCGAGCAAAATATCAAGTATGCTATATTTTTGAAAAGGTAAAATGAAATTATTTTCAACTGAATTAAACATATACAGTGTGTCCCATATAAAAAATCAAATTTTCTGTTAATAATTCTTAAATTATTAATTTTGATAAAATTATACTTAAACCATTAAATTCTACGTAAAAAGTGCTTTGGAAATGTTTTCACAAAAATACAAAATTTTTCATATCAAAAAAGTTACAGCGATTTGTTAAAAATGCACATTTTTGAAAAACACCCCGTAACTCATAAACGGTAACATATATCAATGTGCGGTTTTCACCATCGCGTTTTTGATAAAAATTGAGCTCCAGATACCGATATTAGTTTCCGTCTATCTCATATAGAAAAAGGCTGTTTTCCTTTAAAAGCGTCCAATTTGATTCACAATAATTCTTTGTCACATCGGGCAGTCTCTTGAACTCCAAATTTATTGACTGATATATACATTTTGGGTAAAATATATGATATATGACCAAAAATCAAAAGACAGTTTTGTCATGTAAAATGTTTCTTTCAATGGTTATTCTGTAATAGTGTCCACGTCGTTTCTTTTAAAAAGCCGAACGCACATACAGCATAAGAACGATTAATCAGGGTAATGTGGCCGTTTTCCCATAAAACATAGGCAACGATCGCGTCATTATTTATGCTAAATGAGTCCGTTCGAGAAAATTACGCTGTCTGTCGGTGATTAAGCGAGTGCAGACGGTGGCGGCAGCGGCAACCGTTCGCTAGAAAAATTCCAACCGTTCCAGCTCCAACAGACGCTTAATAATTGTTTGTTTACTGTTGCAAGTCGACTTCAGTAGACATAGTTGGTATAACTTAAAAACATACAAATCTAACTATAACAGAACCATTTTAGTCTACCATTAGCTGAAGAAGCATGATTTTTATTTGATAAAGATTATACTGAAAATTTCACACCTCTACTTTTCAACCAATAACATGCTTTAATGTTGACTAGTTACCATGGCAACTGAAAAAATTTCCGGAAATTTTTTCGAGGCGCCACGAAACTTTAGTGGAAATTTTTTGACAGTTGAAAAGGTAAACATAAGATCTACAATCATAATGTGAATGAACTACGTATCTATATATTGAAATATTACCCATTTGAGTTTTAGCATTTGATGTAACTAAGGTTAGTAATATTTTTATTTAAGAAATATGTTAGATATACCTACATATGAATTTCTTCGAAATTGCCATGTTCTAAAAAATATAGTTCTGCCGCCTTTATTTAACTAAAGCTGGTATTTTTTCTATTTAACGAAATATGATGGATATACACTTGATTTTGATTTTCGGGTGTTATCTGGTTTATATTTTCAATTTCTTCTTTAATGACTTGTTGGTTTTCCAAATCGCGACATTCGCTATACACTTCTTACTCTACGTACAGACGTTTTAAAACTAGTAATAGCTTAATGACAGAATCGCAAACAAAAATGACAAAATACATAATATGTCAAAAACATCAATACCTTGGCCAACTTAACAAATTGAAATTATTTTAAAATGTCATGTTGGATTAATATTTTTTTTTTTCAAATTTAGGTGTGAAATTTTCTTACCGAATACCACGCAAGCTTAAATTATTCCGCAAATTTTTCTTTTCGAGGCACGAAGATATTTTTAGGGAAAAATTATCCTAAAGTCTTCGACTCAGGATAGTGCAAAATATTCGTGCCCTCAAAAAAATTTCCGAAAATAATTTAAGCTCTTGTGATATTATAAGTGAAAATATTCTGAACAGATGAACTTAATGGTTAATTTCTTTAAAATCCTCAACTACTATTTTAAACTTTGCCATCACGGTTTCGCGTCGGACCAACAGGAAATTAAAAAAACAAAGAATACTCACCAGCCGAAAAACAACAACACCATCGGCCGCGAGACGGACCATCGACCATCTTCCTCCCATTGGGTTCGCGATTTGTCATGTCAATGTCTGAGAGAAGCCGGCCGGGCGGGGTGATTGATGGTCCGAGTTCGGGGTCGCATTAGCATATTGAGTGAGGCGGCGAGTCGGAAAAGGAAGGAGATAGAGACGAAACTCGATTCATTGTTGCATTGATGCATCGGGTCCGAGAGTTGAAGAATCGCCTTTAAAAAAACATTTATTATTTTCGATGGGGTATAAGAAGCAAGAGCTAAAGTGATGTACAACGAACTGGTAGACAGAAAGGACATTCTAATTAATATAATACTGGAAGTAGTAGAAGAATATATGATATATAAAACAACCCCAGCATTCCCAAATGGCAAAGATTAATTAATTAAACGAATTAATTTTATAACATTTGAAGAGCAATTTAAGATTAATCCAAAGCACTTTATTCTAGCAAAGTAACTGTTAAACTATACTAAATTAATAAATTTTAGATATTTTTTATACAAGACGATAAACTGGTATTTTATCGTCGACCGAAAAGATAATTTCGGAAGACGATAATGCAATTTTATCGTCGTGTATAAAACAATATTTTTTTTCCATAGCTTCTAGTTACGTTTTAAAAAATATTCAGAAATTATGATTTCAAGGAATTTATTACGAGTA